CAGCTGGGTGATGCTGGGTGCCCTGTGACCCCGCTTACCACTGACGTCGAGATTGTACTTGGCCACGACGCTGCCCATGGAGCTGGTGGCTGTGCAGACGTAGGTGCCGCTGTCGCTCTTGTTGAGGAAGGGGAAGATGAGGACGCTGTCGGAGCTCAGCTGCAGGGGCACGTCGCTGCCTTCCTTCTCCCACAGGAACTCCTGGGGGCTGCGGAGCAGGATGGTGGTGAGGCACCACTGCCTTCCCCAGCACCCTGGGCGGGCTGGGGCAGAGCAGAGTCCCTGGCCAGGCAGCGGAGGAGACAACGAAGGTGTGGGAGTATTTAAAGCAGGAGGGAAATACCCCATTTAGAGATGAGTCGGGATGGATCTGCTTCTCCAGGGAGAGGACAGCGGCTTTGCCAGTTCTCCACGGGCCCTACCTGGCACTGATGCAAGGCCAGTGCCCAGCCCTGAGCCCACGCAGTGCTACCTGTGATGCCCTGCCCGAGCTCTGGGGAGGGCTAAGTGGTGGTTTTGGGAGCCTGGCAGCGGGAGGACGAGTTGGCCAGGGCCTGGCAGGGCTGAGCAAGAGGAAGGTGAGGGGGGCCTTACATGGGGTTGCCCTGCCCGTCGCACTGCAGCCGGAGCTTCTCGCCTTCCCGTGGGTACTGGGGATGTGGCTCGATCTTCGCTGTCGGCTTGTCTGAAAAAGCAGAGGCACAGTTGGGTGATCCACTGTCCCTACCCCATACCGCACAGGGGCCTGCCGGCACCCCAAAACCCTGCCCCTCCACCCTGCCTCGGCCCCAGCTCTGTGTGTGCAGGGGTGCAGCGTGAGTGCACCTGTGGGTGGTAGGGTGCACCTGGGTGGGGGTCAGCACAGTGCAGCTCTCACATCCCTCACCTTGTCATCACGCAAGACAAGGGGAATGGGGACAGGCAGGATGTGGGAGATGGTGCAGGCAGGTAGCAGGGGATGGCACAGACAAGTCACAGGGAGATGAGGACAGACAGGGAAAACCAAGGGCATGCAGGAGCAGGGGAAATGTCCCTGTGCAGTGCCGCACATGTGACAGGCCTGCTGTGCATATGGGTTGATGAGCCTGTATGCATGTATGTGTGATGGCTGTATGTACGTGGAGATGTAGGACCATATGTGTGATGTCTGATGAACTGTGGTAATGCTGAGGCCTCCACCATCTCTCCCACCCCTCCACAGCCTTGTCCGCTTCCCCATGTAGCCCTGTCCCATCATCCCCATGTGCCACGTACAGTGGACCTGCAGCTTCTGTGTGGTTGACCTCTCGGAGTTCTGCAGGGACTCGTGGTCCACGGTGCAAGTCACCTCGGCTTCGTTGTCCTCCTTGGTGACACGGAACTCCACCCGACTGCTCACAGTGAAGGTCTTTCCGTTGGGGTCCTCCACCACCTCAGTGCCCTCATCTGTGGGGACAGGGGACTGTTAGAGCTGATGGTCACAGCATCCCAGCAGAGGCATGAGGCTGACATCTGTACTAAGCAGGGGACACCCTGTCCCTGTTCCTTTGTTGGCAGTAGCACAGGATGCCAGTATGGTCAAGCACCAGTCACATCTGCAACCCCTGGTGCCCCACCTGCCTCCATGGTGTTCCCCAGCCACTCCAGTCCCTCAAGGCAGAGCCCCACTGCTTGGGCACCCACCCTTCAGCTCCTTGTTGCCCTTCTTCCACCGGAGCTGGGCTGCAGGTTTGCTGCCAGAGGACCGGCAGGTCAGCCGGGCTATCTTCTCCTCATCAATGGGCTGCTCATGGCCGAAGATTTGAGGTTTCTGGGGGATTCCTGGTAGAGGAGGCGGCAAGAAATACAATAGCCTATTAGTTGTGTGTATGCTGCCACCCAGAGACGGATGCACATGCAGAAACATGTCAATAAACACGGCAAAGATGAGTTAATGGGTAGGGATACGGGAGTGGCAGAGAGGAACGGCTGTATGGCAGCATCTTGCAGGCAGGGCAGCAGCAGGCAGGAGATCAGGAGCAGGTTGGGGGGCTGCCACCGGTGACTTACCCAGCACGGTGACCAGGGCCTTTGCAGTTCGCACGGGCATGGTGAAGATAGAGCATGTGTATTCCCCCTCGTCCGACAGCACCACATCACTGATGCTGATGGTCAGCTCGTTGGGTGTGGACCTCTCCAGCTGGATCCTGTTGTCACGCAAGGCTGGGGGAAAAGGAACAACAGAGTGAGTGACAGGCTCAGCACCAGAACACCTCTCCGCGAGCTCATATTTTGCCCGGTGGCATCACTGTAGGTGGGGAGCAGGAAGGAACATCACCATCTGGGCACTGCTGGCCCTGGTCCACTTTCCCTTCGCCCCACCATTGCTCTAGTCCTCGAGCTGGCTCCTCTTCCAGAGGCAGCCCTCTCCCATTCCCCATTTCTGCACACGTACCTCGTTTCTCCCCAAAGTAGAGGGTCTGCTGGGCAGGGTTCGACCACTGCAGCGAGGAATCATCAGGATCCTCCACCTGGCACTTGAGCACCACTGTACCGCCGGCCACCACAGTCTCGTCTGACGTCGTGGGCTGGCTCTCTGGACACGGACAGGAGAGGTTAGTGGAATCCCTGGGCATTGCCTCTCCCCAGGTGCGCACGAGCATCACTGAGCAACCAAGGGAAGGGAGGAACACAGCGGTGTCCCCAAAACCCCTAGGACAAGTAGGGCTCCAGTGCTGGCTGAACACAGCTTGCTTGGGATAAACATTTTTTTCCAGCTGACCCCAAGCCCTGGATGGCCAGGCTACACAGACTGGGGTAGGAGGACAGGGTCACCCTGGCTCAGCTGCTCTGGGTGGCAGCATGGAGGGGCATGAGGAAGAGGAGCATGTGTTGGCAGAGGTCTGGCTGGATCCAGGGAGACTGTCAGTGCAAGTATATGCCACTACGCACATGTATGTATCTGGGGGCATCTGTACAGCCCCTTGAGCACAGATGTGTGTGAATACACATGTGCTTGTGGGTGCATATCCCTCTCCAGAGACAATGGGTTTCTATCACACAGGCAGCGTGGCTGGAACGGAGCCATCCTGCACAACCTGGGGACAACAGGGACCCGTTCACAGGCATGTGTCAGCCTGGGTCTCCCATTGCGATTCCACTCCCCAGCAGGGAACAGCCCTGCTACAGCTGCGGAACCAAGGACCAGCAGGCAGGATCCATCCTGCTACCCAACCTTAAGCACCCGCTGGGACAGCAGCTCCCGTGATGCTGCTGTCCCCAGGTGGTAGCTCCATGCCAACCTGCAGAGACATCAGTGTCAGGCCTGGCTCCAGGCATGGTCCCCGAGGCTGCTGGAAGATACAGGCAGCTGATGCCTGCCTGGCATGAGCAGATCCAGGTAGGAGGGGGGTACACCAGGAGATCCTGGCACCAGCTGAAGGCACCTGGGGAGGCAGCAAGCTCTGCTCCGCTGCCCTGGCAGTGCCAGCAAGCCAGGGCTTTCACTCGTGATGCCTCCATGCCAAGCACTCTACACAATGGGATGCTCCGCTGGCCATCTCCATCCCTGTCTCCAGCAAAAACATCTGTGGTCCACTGAGTGTGGCCCATAGGGTACAGTCAGCAGTCCGCTCTCCATGTCATTCCTTAAGGGGATTTTCTGTTGCTCACACAACTCCCGGGCTGTGCACGTCCCTTCCCAGACTGCGTTTCCTCAGCTAAGACATTGTCCTTCGCTTCCTTCAGGCTCCTTGGAGGGCTCAAGCTGAGCTGCCCAAGGGCAGAGAAGAGCAGCAACAGGATCAGATAACCCCTCCGCCTGCCCCAAGGACAGCTATTTTGGGAAAGCTGATGTGCCAGTGAGCTGAGCCGCACAGGGAAGAGGGGGATGCTGGCTCTCCCAGCCCGGGGAGCTGCACACCCTCCTCACCCAGCTGGGCCCACAGAGGGACAAGAGGGAGGAACACAGATGCTGCTGCTATTTGCACTTTGTTCGTGTGCTAGACACAGGGCTTCACAAAATGTCATCTTCTATCTCGGCCCAAGTTACTCAGGTTTAGGCAGGGGCTCAGCCTCAGGATCCCCGAGCCTTGGGTGGTTCTGCCTGTGCGCCCAAGCAGCCGGCAGTGCAGTCCTCACTTCACCAGCATGTTTCACTGCATGGTATTCACTGCCTGGGAGAAGCTCCAGTTATCGGAGAGGAGCGGAAGCAACTTTGGCTGAATTTCCCCTTTTTCCCCTCAGAAGGGTGAAGGGAAATATCCTCTTTTGCTCACGTTGCAAATTCCCCAAAGCTATTGCAGGGAACAGGAAGGCGCAAAGAGGTTTTGGAGGAGGGCAGGAGGACAAGGCTGCCGGGCTTCTCAGGGACCATTTGGCTCGTGTTAAACTCCGGGAAAGCCCAGGCTGGAAAGCACATGAACCCCTCCCTGCCCATTCCCAGCAGCCATGATTACCAGAGATGTATCAAATTCAGATTAAAAATATTCCCAGGATAAAGACTCTCTCTCCAGCCCCAGGAAATCCCCCATCACTAAAGCTAATGTTTCTTGCTATTGAAGTTTTGCTCCTCTCCACTTGCCTGGGTTTGACGGCCAGCCCTCGGCCCTTGCTACACTCTTGCCCGGTCGGCTGAAGAGCCTCTGGTTCCCATCTCCTTCCCTGCGGACATTTACAGGTAGCGATCGAGCCTTCCCCACGGA